TTTGAATTTCCGAGACTAAAACCACTGTTGCTATACCTCGTGGTTCGGGGCAAGCTATTGCATTGCGACCACTATCTCTGGAATGGACTGGTTCCTTTGTGCCTTTCTTATCCATTGAAAACAGTGTATTGGTGCGAGGCGTCTCTTTATGTAACTAAGCAGAAGTTTGGATTTGATCTCAATTACGCCTAGCTTGAGCATGGTTTCGATTTCTTTGTTTTGGTAGTCCTTCGTGTATCAAATGGCAATGGGTAAGCTTCGAAAAGAATGGAATCATCCGTAGTGAGCGTTACACTGTGTGCCTCATCAAGTCACTGTGACCATGAATATCTTTGAGCACATCTGTGAATTCCTAAAGATATGCAGTTTTCGCTGGACACACTTGAACGTTGATGCAAGTTTCTGCTTCTTTAACTGGTAGGAAATTGAAATTCACAATTCCCCTTACGTCATCATCGTCCATCACGCGGGTGCCAACAGGCCTGCGCGCATTCCTGGTATGTGCGCGGTGCATCTAATAGTCTCTCAACACGCTGCTTGCTCAGCGGACTCTAGGAGTGCTATGTACTTTTCCAGCAAGCTTGCATGGAAAGTACGCTGCTTCTGTGGAGCTATTTGCACGCACTTCCGAGTCTGTGCTGCGGATCAGTGAAATATTCATCACTTCCACTCTCTGGGTGCGTTACCGGTCCATAATTCTTTGAGTATCGCTGGCGGACCTCTGACCATTCAACCGTACATGAGTTAGATTGGTGAATAACCTAAGCTCTCTTGCGTGATTCAATATGTGCAAAAAAAAGTGCTGGCAAATAATGATTGATTTCCTAAAGATGCCCAAGTCTTTAGGATGTTCGTTGGACATATCTATGGAGCAAGCGCTTTAGGGTTCCATCAAACGTTTCGACTAATCCGTTTCAGATCAGATTTGAAATTTATTACGTGTTTTAATCGTCAGACATTGGGATTTCTTTGTTTCGGTTTTGTTTCGTTGGCTTTTCTCATGTGTGATTTGGGTTTACCTGTCCTTCAATATATCTAAAAGATGTCTATGAAATATCATCAACAAACTACATCTGCTATTTCTGCAGGGAGTCCACGCTGAAGTCCAAAGTCGTAATACATCTACTTCAAACTGTCGCAGCGTGTATGTTTCACAACCGTAACTCTCACACACAAGCGCATGCACTCAATGGAAAGCCGAACCAGGAGGAGAGTGGCTGTACGCGAGTCAGGAGCACAGACACTGCCTGACTGAACTTGGTAACTCCTAAGCAGTGGCAGTGACACTGGAGTCAGACTACACTCTAAGTCGTCTGGTCGAACGATTCTGAGATTGCCTTTTAAAACTGAATGATACACCGACTTCAGAAGTCAGCCTGTTTCAACTATGAATGAACGTTCACTTGTAATTGTGGCGTTTACGAAATCAGGCTGAAGCCACTCCGCAGACAAAATTTAAAAAAAAAATTTCGACATTGACATGTCATAATCTCACCAAAATTTAACGGTCTCTTTTACACTGGAAATCACCAGCAAGTTTGGATTAGCCCTTTTGTGAGTATCAGGCATTAGAATATCAAATTCATAATTAACAAGTAAAATCATTATCAAATTCATAATTAAACAGAAATGTGAAAATAAAACCACCAAGGACATCATACACATCGATTTATACATAGATAGAAAGATAGATAAATAATTTATTTCATTAGAGACATGATGTGGTAATCGTACCGACTGCATTGTATCAAGTCAGCAACTTAAAAGAATGAAATTAATCAGTACATGTACAGTACACCAACATTAAATTTTATATAAAAGAGTTCAAGTAATTAAAATGTCCTAAAGGGTAGTAAGCACAAAGGGAGGAGTCTTTGCTTCAACTCCGCCATTAGTCGCATTTTAATTTACATGTATATGTATTACCTATAACTTGAAAGTCACAAATTGAATAATGAAAGTCTGACCATTGGCAGCTACATATACTCTTAAAACCTATAGTCAAATTTGACTAGAAAATAGTCAACTTGGACTAGCCATTTAGGGTCAGCTGGGTGCAACTAGAAATTAGTCAATGTGACCAGATATGTCTAGTCAGAATTATTGACTACCAAATCTAGTCACATGGATTAATTGAAATATTTGTCATACCCTACCATGTGTCCCAGTTAACATGACTAGATTTCTTGTCAACCACACTTTTTCCAATATGGGTCAAGTCCTACTACATATCCCAGTCATTATTACTAGATTTCTTGTAAAACATACTTTTTGTCCAATATAGCCCTTCTTTGAAAAGCAGAAGTATTCTAGAAATATTACCTTGAAACACCTCTATTAGGTATTACATGTATGTACAGTACAGGACAGTGCATACACTGTACATATACATATAGGCCATGCATGCATGTGCGCGGGAATAACGTCTGCTCGAAAAATAGTGTCCTTTTGAACAGTGTGGGAAACCCATACGTATGACGTAGATCGCGCGCGAATAGAATATTAGTTACGGCTCATTGTTCAGTAAAGAGCCTAGTAAAAACAACTTTTGTTTGGCATTACGTTTCAACACAGTGGCTAATTTTCCAGTCAAGTTGCAAAAACTAGGAAAACTAGTCAAAAATTTGACTAGGTTGTTTTAAAAGTGATATACTCTGAGATTAGAACTACATGTACTCGGAGAAAAGTTGCATTACTGTTCTGACACGTTGCTCCCAAGATTTTGGCAACGTGAAAATAACACGTCATCATGACGTAAACAAGGCGGTGCTTCACCAAAAACCCTATGTATTGCACGTATTTGCCCACACTGGAAGAAATGCGCAAATTTCACAGTTGGACGGTACATCTTGCGAGATCCATGAGATTTCTGAAATCTACAAACTGAAGTCTTTCTGAGTAGATAGAATCAGTCATCCAAATCCTATAAGAAATTCACGATGTCCGACACGAGTGATCAGGAGCAAGGATGGCTGAGTGGTGGCTTTCCTAACAAGACCAATTTTTACGATCTACTCGGGCCCCGCAGCCCTCTCCAGATTGCAGTCAACACCGGCATCGCCTGCCTGGCTTTGCTAGGTAACGGCCTTGTGATAACCGTCATGCTGGCCAGACGCCGCGTGTTCAGCTCCCTCACGAATCGTCTCATCCTTCACCAGTCCATCATCGATTCAGTTGCCGCAGTGGTTTTCTTCCTTCACAGGGTTGTTGTGAGCTCCAAACCTGTGTTTTCCAGCCAAAACACTCTCTATGCTGACTTTGTCTGCCGTTTCTTGTTCGCCGACGTCTTCATGTGGTGTGCGTATGTGACGTCCACGTACAACCTGGTCATCATCTCGCTGGACAGGTTCATGGCGACCTGTTATCCCCTCAAACATCGCCAAATAATCTCATCCGAGAAAATCAAATACGTCGTAGTGGTTCCTTGGGGAATCGGCTTGGCCCATGGCTCAAATCTTTTGAGTCTTTTCGAGCCGTTTCAGGGGCAATGCCAACCTGTGCCGAAGGGAAAAGGACTGGAACTCTTCCAAGGTGCATTAGTGATCATAGTGGAATATCTGGTACCCGTCACAATTCTAATCTACACGTACACAAAAATACTGATCAGACTACACAGGAGGGTCTTCGTTCCTTCTAACAACCGCGAGAATTTTTTCCGCAAAGCTAAGGAGAACATACTGAAAACTGTCCTCGTAGCTGGCAGCGCGTTCATAATCTGCTGGTTCCCTGCCGAATTCCACTATATCCGCACACTGTTCAGCATTTATTCAAGCGAATCGGTGTACACTGTATTTGCTGCGTTGGTATCCTGCAACATGTTCATAAACCCAATCATTTACTGCTTTATGTACGAACATTTCCGAGCTCAGTTGAAGGAGGTTCTCTGGAAAGGACTTCGACAAAATCGAGTACACGTCGGGCAACATCTTCCCCGTGACGCTTTGAGAGCAGCTAACGCAGAAAATGGTCGACAGTAGGATGCATTCAAGCAAGTCAACCTTTAAAAACGAGGGACTTGCAAAGAATAAGCATTCAACAACCGTTGCGCCATCTTTACCCCATTTACGAACAATGCACCCCTGCCCTTGGAAGGGCTCCTGCTTTCCAAAGCCAGACAAACCACAGTTCCATCCGACGATCTCACCCATTCATCCTTGCTGGATGTGTACCTGAAAGTCTGAGCCAGACGCTACGACAACGAACCTGTTGAGTAACTTCTCGGGACGTCGCGGCAACGACCTGTTACTGAAGTCCGCAGGACGCAGTAGCGGAATCAACTCTAATCCCTCTGCTGAAAAATTAATAACATTCTGATCAGCACAAAGGCGGCTCGAATCCGTAGTAAATCCTGATGATATTTGATGACCGTTCACTTAAACTGGCTGTGTTGTTATGGAAGGTTCGTGTCTTTTCTTTGAGACCCACGGGATGTGTACGTGCATTAGTTAGTTATCTTTAACTTATCACAATATGTGATTGTTTCAGATTGTCTATTCTCGTCAATTCACTAGGCTGTTCTCAGAGTGCTGTTTTTGCGTCAGTATTGTTGTCTAGCATTCGGCATACATGTGGTTTGAAACCGTTTGACTTTTACGCGACCTTTGCAATGAAGATGTCATTTCGTAAAAAAGATACCTAAATATTTGCAACTAATAATGTCGGCTTCACGTAATGAATGTCATATTCGGAAAAAGCCTTCACATTTTGCTTCACTAAAAATCCTTTAGAATCCCAAGGCTTACACATTTTTCTTTGATGTTATATCCTTTTTTAAGTGGCCGTTCAATTTAGCGATTTGTTTTTATGCATATCAGACTCTCGTTTTCTTTCCATTACCGTGCATTGTAATGAAAGGTTTGGGAATTCTTACAAGGGAGGTAGTAGTCTGAAAGATTTCTTAGCCGTGCTGGTTTAGATCAACTGCTTTTCAAAGCATCTGCCATTTTTCTTCTTTGAAAAAATTGAAAGAGATACGATGAGCTGAGATTATCCATGAATAATTTTAATCTGGCCGGNATTTTGGTCATTTTCCCAAAATGATCTGACAGTTGATTTATTTATGACAAACATTATCCGCTTTTTCAAAGCATCTGTCAGTTTACTCCCCGGAAGAGTTAAAAATAAGAGACACAGGGAGAGCAAACACAATTATAATCCTATGTAAACTGCAGAACCGCCAGATCTATAGCGATTAGTCGAAACTGATCTGGCAGGTGATATGTTTATGACAACTTTTTATTGACATTTGCAGTTGCAAGTGAAAGATAATCCTCTTGATAGAAAACCACGCAAAACCAGCGTTGCTTTCATGCTGGTGTGGCTTACACGAAGTCCAAAAGTCGTGGTCGTTGCCGCTGTTAATGAAGATTCCCCAGTAAACTGTCCCCCATATAAAGAAATGGCGGTCTGGCCGGACCTTTCCCTCCTAGTGGCGTATCCAGCTGGGGGGGGGATTTCTCCCGATATATTTCTTTCAACTGAGAATACTTCATAATTATGTAAGTAGGAAATAAAGTAATCGGTATATTTATCAAATAGGATATATTTTTCTCCCCCATTATCATGTTGAATGAGCCCAAACGTGCATTTACTTTTGAATTTGCCCCAACATCAAAAGATACAATCTGTTACAGAGTGAAATTAATGAGATAAAAGTAGATTTGCAGCACATTGCTAAGAAAAATAAGTATGTACGTCTATTAGCAGCAGAATGTGGGCATTGCGCCTGCTGGTACCCATGCAGTAATTTCATGTAAATTAGATAACATAACTTCGCAGGAAGGTGTTTCGTTGGTGAAAACAGGAAGAGCACGTCGTTGCGAAACACTGGTGTCAGAGTTTCTCCTGCTTTGCCGGCCTCGATGATTTTTGATGATACATCTGGAGATTTGCCGTCTACTTAGATCTGAAAGGTTGTTTAAAGTCAATGTTACAAATTTTATGAGCGACATCGGTAAAGGCAATTGCTGATAAGTTAAGCCCCATCCACTGCCAGAAACAACGACGTCAGAAACCATTTTTCGGAGCCTGCCGATTTCAAGAACCAGGTTTTCTACATTATACCTGGTTCTGGGAACCGAGTGATGCCAGATAATGGCGGGACTCTTCCCTAGTGAGCTATGGAATACCGTTGGAAGGGCATGGCGTTGCTGTGGAGAGGCCTTGGTAGGCCAAATAGTAACCCCGTGGTTTACGTCCGCTGCAGTGAGCCACAAGAAACCCTCATGAGACCAGGACAAGCTTGGCTCCGTGCAGCAAACCAACCATCGCCCTGTATCAACGATATGCTTGAAAAAAAAACAGCCACTGTTTGTGTGCTTGTTAATTGAGTTGTCAATTAGTAGAATTTACCAAAATATCCTAGGAGTAATCAAAGAGTGTAAATAATTTGTAAAATTAGAGTAGCAAGTGCAGTGGAATAAAACATCGTTATCTTGTGTTTTTTGTTTGATGGTAAATACCTACCGTACCGAATGTCATGTCCAACAGGAAAGGGAAAATACCGAGGATGTCGCTGATTGTTGTCCGATATCTTACAGTTTCAGTGGCGTAATTTTGTGCCTGAAGTTGGAGGGGGAATGGGGAAAGCGGGGGGGGGTGACTTGCCCTGCCAAGAAAATTTGAAAAAGCGGGGAGAGGGGTGAAACCGTATGATTCTACGAAGAGGTCGATGTTCATAATATTGATGTATATCCAAAATATGTATTCAGATTGGCATTTTTTGAGCGATAATGAATGCATGTACCGTGTACAGTTCAGACTTATTGCTGTTGGTTTATTTCAGTGCATGTATAAACATTATTGGAAGTGATCTGTCTTAATAAAAGATATTACGGCTGAGTGTGTACAATGAGCAGACTTTACAGTACGAACTGCCAAAAATTGCCTTTTTCTTTGTGTGTGTTTTTAGCCCACTTCCATATGGCCTACACACAAGCGTGCGCGCTCAGTCGTTTATTTTTTGCATCACAAAAATGTGACAGAACATTTAAGCAACTCGTGAAATGTTTCCCTTCAAAGCGATGGATTTTAATAATAAGCACTTAATTCTCATGTCCATTGCAACTTTCCACTGACCACTGTGCTCAATCATTTGAATATTAACAACATCAAATGATCTTCTTTCTTTGCACCAAAACATATAGACGATATTATGTCAAACCTGTGTACAAACTATGTGGCAATTGATTTTCCTACACCTTAAAATGTAAAATGTTAAGAATCCTACCGCTAAGAACAGTTTAGAATTAAAAGTTATAAAGCAAGCAGCATTAAACTTGTATTGAAGCAAAACATATACCGTAAAACTAAAAAGGGTATGTAAATTGTTGGAATCAAAAAGTTATTAAAATACAGGGCACTAAAACTAAAACTGGCTTTTGGATCAAATAAATGTACATAATCAGCTTATACGGGATTTCATATGAGAAAGTAACTTCGCTTGTCTTTGGGCCGTGAAAAGTTTGTTTGATTCCAGAGTCCCAAGGTACTGAAAAGTACGTATAGCAACATTAGTCTCGGGATTAACGGACAGATGTAATGATCCGTCAGACTTGGCACGGGTATTTGCAGAATGATGTAGTTTCTGAAAGCGGAACTGGAGATATGCTGGGCTTAGATTATTCTGGCAGTTGTACACTTCAACCTTACTATACGCATCTCCCAACGAGCTGGCAATGATGACCGCGAAGCTGCCCGTTGTGATTGTGTGAATATGTGTTCTAGGGTGAGCATGCATCAAGAATTAATCTGGCAAGACGTTTGTATAGTTTAAGAAGCTTATCGTCGTAGGAACGTGCACGTCCTGACCAGGCAACGTCACAATAGTCGAATAAAGGCAAGATCATGGCACTGTTTATCGTTTTAAACAATGACTTATGAAGGCAAGGTTTAGAGGATCGTCGTAGAAATTTCATCCTCATGGAGATTTTCTTAACTGTGGCATCAATGTGATCGGACCAAGATATATGTTCATCCAGGATATGTCCAAGATACTTTTAAAAGAGCTCTCTCGATTTCCTCACCATTTAATGATTCGAACCATCTTAATTCCAGATCCTTGACTCAATTATCGTATAGCTTAGGGAGAAGAATTCTATGGTGAACAGGAGCGAATGCTTTCTTCAGCCCCCCCCCTCAAAAAATAAGTGGCTCCTTTTACCTTACCATTATCCATATGGTTAGAGTGTGGTCGGTATTTAAACATCAAGGACTGCTATTTGGGTAGAATGATGCTGTCTGCTACCTGAAGTAAGAAGTTCCTCCCGTTGAGAAACGTAAACAACTGATCATTTATAACTCTTTCAAGTTTTTTGAAACCAGTGGGAGGACTGAGATAGATCTATAATTAGAAAGTTCGTCGCGATCACCACCCTTAACCCTAACCCCCAAGGGTGTATGTAAAGTCGTATTAAAATTGGAGGATTTGGGATACTGGAGTTAATGACTTGGCGGTCTTCCAGTACCCTCGCAAAGCACCTGTGAAAGGGAGTTATTTGTAAGGTAAGTTAAGGAGGTACAAATGGCGGGACTTGCTTATTTAAAAAAAATTTGCTTGATTTCCAGTCAAAGCCTGTAGAGGGATCCAGTTGCTGGATTTGTTTTTCCACAAAGCTAGTTGAAACAGGAGAAAATCTAAAGAAATCGCTGTTGTTCACCTCGTTAGAAGAGTGATTAAACGAGGCGTTATCCTCGAGGGTGGGAGCGAAGTCATCTCCTATATTAATTAACAAAAAATGGTTAAGGTCATCAGTGAATTTTTGTTTGTTATTACTTGCCCAAGCAGGGAATTTAGAGTTATTCCTAATAGAGCTTGCTTGGTTGCGTACTGTACTTGTACAGCCGTAAGCCAATCATCGATCGCGATTACCTGTTTTCTGTGTTGTTACGTGCGGAGAACTCACGGCAGAAGAAAATCAAAAGACGGGAACAAGGACTCTAAAATACGGGCAAAGGACAACCAAGGAACTAATTCAGAATAATGTTTAATTATAAACTTAAACTAGCAAAGCAATAAGTTAAAGCAAATAAAGTAAATCTTTTGGTTGGGAAACTGTAACTTCTCATGCAAAAACACCGTGAATTTGGACAAGCAAAAGCATAAAACCAAACATATTTACATTAGCACAGCCAAGCACAATTATACAAAGAAAATTGGCATGCCGGCAAAAACATGTTAATGCACGAAGAGGCCAATTATATTCGGCCGAGCATAATTACCTTATGGAGCCAACACAAGAAAGGAAAACTGAGGCCCCCGCCCAGTCAGTGCCATGGCCAAAAGAGCACAGTCGTCGGGCCAAGCAGCGCCACACCCCGCGCCAGGACAGCCCAGCCCAGACAGGTAGGTGGGCGTCGATCCCCGAGATTCGGCTTGTGCATGGAGCCACGACACGATCAGGGTCCACGATCCCACAGCGGTGTCAGTTTCGGCCACGGTCCGGCGATGAAGAGGGGAAGACCACACGGAGGTGCTGACCCAACGCAGGCTATCCTGGGACGCACATGTTAAAAGCACAGAAGCACTGACTGAGAGCGAAGCCAATGGCCACCGAGTCTTTTAGAGGTTTTGAAAACGCGCGTAAATTCCACACGTACCTTTTCGGGGAGACACAAAAGGATGCTTGCTTCCGTTCGCCTGACAGCCGAACGCATGGCAAGGAGATTGTTTGGCCCCCGAAGGGTGAGATTGCGTAAGTTCTTGCCAGGATCAAGTTCATGGGTGTTTGGGCTTCCATCTTTGCGCAGAATGACTGAAAAATACGGTTGAAAACTGTCCTTGGCGCCTGAGAAAGTTAAGGGTTGGCACTTGAAAAATGGCTGAACACAGACTTCGGAACTTTTCCTTTTGGGAGGTTGTGTTTTGGTGTGTGAATAATTTAAAATTTCACCGGTTAACCCCCCTCAAATTGAAAAGAAATTAAAAGTTTAGGGACCAAAGAATAATTTCACTTTTGTTTGACAAACCTCAGGGATGTTGGCTTGCATGTTACTGAGCCCTGAAGAATGTTGATTTACACTGTTTTTAACGGGGTTTGAAATAAGCGGACTACGCCCAGAACGCGGTGGAAACGTTATACTCTCAGCCTTGATTAAGATCAGTGTAATATTCTCTTGATCCCAGTACATACATGTGTATATATGTACGTGTATATGCGAGTTTGTGGCATATGATGTGATCTATTCTGGACCAATAAATAATTTCCATTTATCACAATTATAGACCAATGCCAGATGGCCATCAGTATATGTGCCTTGCTGTCCGCTGCATCGATAATGGACACGTCAAAAAACATGTAACGCGAAGTCAACAGTAGAACTACTAGCTGGTACGTTACTATAATACATGCTGTTATTTAACAGTTCGAAACATTTTGAACGCCATTATCGCAATGTTCAAAATAATCTTGATCAAGATGTTGAGCTTTTCTTATTGTTAATCACATTACTGTTCATGCTCTGTCGCATTGTGGCGTCGCGTCGTGGCGTCGCCTCCTTTCTCATTATTTTTATGCTGTGTTTACCCTAATGCTTTACGTCGTGCTGTCGTGGCGTCCCGTCGTGATGTCATATTAAGACAAGAATCACTTTAAAAGACAGAAAGGACTCAAATGCCTTCTCCTATGGAATAAAATAATTCAAATGCCCTTATACCTGAGAAATATACACTGTTTAAAAAAATAAAGCAGCTATTTCTAGGGAGATAGAGTAAATAATCACATATGTAATCAATCATTTATTAACGGCAAGTGTATTTCATTTCTATTTCTTCTTGTTGTATTCCTCTTATGTAGCATTCTAAGCGAAATTAGGAAGTAAAATTTTATTATTTGTTAAGGGACATGGCCTCGAATAAGCTTTCTCATCTGCCAGACAGTCTCCATACATCACACTGTTTATTTTGTGCTATTTATCTGCATCTTTTCCATTTGTTGTGATGGATGCAAACCAAACCAAACCGAACCCAAACCCAACGTACCAAACCAAAACCAAGCCAAACCTGTGATGGTCCGAAATAACCTGGCTCTCAGGGTTTCAAGCATTTTTCGTGCATATTATACGGGACCTTAAGCCTTTTAGAAACGCATTCATTTTTCGTTTATTTGCTTTTTAAAAGAATCACCCCAGTAAACTGGCAATAGTTAAATATTAATTTACTAGCAAATTCATCTACAGACTCTGAAAAATTGCCTGATCTGCCTGGAATAAAACAAAAAAAGAAAGGTAGGAGACCAAAATGTACAATTAAAACACCCCCCCAAAAAAATCACCATTTACATAAATGCCAAAGACTGATCTAACCTTTGCTTACAACTGCACTTAGATCAGCCCCACTGATCTAAGTGATGAAATGAATGCGTTATGTGCGCGTCGCTGTCAACAAAACGAACGCTCCCGACCAGCATGGCTCTTTTCGACCGATGAGGGGTTCTTCTGCTCAAGGCGGATTGTTTCTCCGAGGTAGGAAGGATGCTTGTCATGCCGTCCACATAGAGGTTATGCGTTAACGCTTGGCGCAGTTCGATGGGGCGGACGGGGGGGGGCTTTAGCTCCCCTATCTTTGTCCAGCCACCCCCCTGCAAATGAAAATACTACATTAGCTACTATCACGTGCCAAATAGTTGCAAGAGGCACTGTACATGTATTTAGGTGTTTCCGACTCCCAAAGGAAAGAGCAGTAACGAAAGTTAAAGGGTGACGTCAAGTGCAAAGGGTCTAGCCTCCCGCCTCCTAAAAAAAGGAAGAAGCATTGGCTCTAGAAACTCGCCTTGGCAAGAGTAGATCTTTTATAGATTCGTTTTTACTGAATTAAAATAAGAAAAACGGCCTCCGAGACACCAAGGAGTCGCTAGCAACGCATTTATGCCAATTCTGTGCGTTCAACTGTCATTTGACGGTATTGGATTGTACTATGGAACGCACCCCACGCACGGAAGCGTATACGAGCCACATGCCTATTTTTCAAAGTGGTATCCAGCCACAATGAGTAAATAGATTTCACTTTTAAAAATTCATGTGGCCATTATACGCTTCCGTAGCCTGGTGTGCTCACTAAAGGCCTATGATTAACAGCGCATTTTTTTCGCATTAATTTTGTGCTCTAGAACGGGCAGGCAAACGTAAGAGGTACATACATTTTTGAAAATCGCGGTTGAATTCTTGGCGCCAAATATTGAGCAAATGTAGTTCCTATTCTGATCACTAAGTCCATTTGGTCCCTATCCACCTAACGCAAAAACACCCCCTCATCGGTTGAAAAGAGCCATGTTGGTGGGGAGCGTCCATTTTGTTGGTAGCCACGCGACCGTACCGCGTGCATTTCATAGTCGCCAATGCAATTAGCTCTTGTATCAAAACTTAACTCAATGGACGGTAAACGGTTTCAAAGTGCTTGAGCGTTGCAGAACAAAATGATTATTTGATGATGATAAGGTTGTGATTACCTTGTGTTCGTTGTTAGACCGTTTAAAGATGCGACGTGTTTGCGGCATGTTCTAAAGTTCACATCTTGTTAACACGGACAAAAAGAATCCTCGTCGGCAAACAGGAATGAAGCGGTTGAGAGCGATTAATAATAGGCCTAACTGTCATAAAAAAAGCAAAGGCTTGAACCCAGTAGAAGTGATACTTCTGGGAGACTGGGAACAGACCAGTGTTGCCCTGGGGTTATGTAAATACACGTTGGCCAGGTCTAGAGATCAGATGGCTACAAACCGTCACCTCGTGCATGGCAACTGTGAAACAAAATGACAAGCTATCGACACCCTTACAGACTGACGACATTCGACCAGAGGGTCCAGCGTGTTTGTAAATCTTGAGTGACCCTTAGAAGAGGTAAGTACAACCTGTGCATTTTGTTTATATGAAGCAAACTTTGTTACCCTGCATTTCATCTGAAATGGTTTGGCCACGTTGCATTAAGGCGTGTTTCTGGCCTGGTTTGTAGATAGTTAACATGATTGTGAAAACAATTATGTTCGTTTTAGGAGTTATAAACCTAGGGAGCAGTGGCGTCGCTAGGATTTTACTGGTGGGGGGCACAAAGGGGCACCAGCATCTTATGGGAGCACCAGCTTTCAGTGGTGTGTTTTGGGGGGCATGTTTTTGTTAGCCTTGTTCAATATCCATTCCTCCGTTTTTTTTTTCAATGGGGGGCACGTGTGTGTGTGGGGGGGCACCGGGAATTTGTACGTGGGGGGAACGTGCCCCCCCCCTGTGGCTACGCCACTGCTAGGAAGCATCAAATTGTCATAATATGTATTGTCATGCTCCGCAGGGGACACCATGGATACCTATTTATTTTGGTATACCGTGTTGATTTAAACTCGAATTGCAAGCACTCCGCCAAAGACAGGTCCCCCCAAAATTCACGTTACACCAGCAATAACGTCCATATGGACACCCTTCACGCAAGTTTAAACGGCTGCGTTTTGAGGGCCATTTTACCATGTTCGGCCAACGAAATCGGGGAGGTATTTTCTTCAAGTTACTTGTATTTTATGACTAATGACTATGACTCCCCAAACGCATTCTCGGTGAATTTCGTGCATGCTACACCGTACACAAGAAGTGTCCCTCCAAATGATCAGTGTACATTTAGTAGTCGTTTACTGATCCCCTCTCAAGGTGCATTTCGGTGAAGGAAACTGCACCTTGATGCGCTGACCTGCATGTCATCATCGTTTTTTATTTGTTTTTGTGGAAATGTGAACGCAACCCTGAACCTCCTCTCTTGCATACGGGTTGCACGCTCGTAGAAACTACAGAAAACCCCTCTCCATTAGAGCAAGTAATTTCGAAACACACTCTAACAGTTCTGTTCACAGACAAGATGAGTTGTCTCCATTTTTCAAAAACATGATCGGGGCCAAATCTTAAAACATAAGTCCTCAAAACCGTCTGAAAACAATGGGGCCCCATAAAATGTCAAAAAAAGAAGAAAAAGGGGAAAAAAGACTGAAATAAGTTTTCTTTTGCATCCGCTTGCTTGATAAGAGAATTTTATTCAGCGTACAATTTACCGGTTCCTCAATAACTATGACCACGTCACTAACTGATGGTTTGATAGGCGTCAACAAACTGCTATTGACACGAACTGAATCAAATTCTGATCCACTAAGCACCACCTGGACGAAACGAAAGCCTGATCGAAGTTTGAAGAGACAGCTACTTACAATGCTCAGACCATATTACAAGAGTCTCCGTGATGTCACAACACCAATTACACAGTGTCTTAGTCGGCAAGATACAATATTGATCCAGCTTTGGACAGAGAATGCAGGGTACGTGTTAAGTGATTCCATGTTTGCAGGCAAACACATGAGAAATAGCAGAGGACAATAGAGCTGGCTGTAGGCCTTGAGGCCGTGATTACAGACAATCAGAACTGAGCAACACGCGGTACATCATGCCTGCTGACATGTCATTTTTATTAGGTTATATCATAGAGCTGGGTTGTAGCTCTATGGTTATATCAAATGGTGTCGAAGTACCTGGTTAGCAACTGCGTGCGTCGTAG